CAGAGATAAAAGTAATCAGATTATAGAAATAAGTGGTGCATTAGAGTCGTAAATTTCCGAAAGTACTCCTGTGAACGGTCGGAGCGGCGGCTGGCCGCGGGTTCCCTGTCCGCGCCGTTATCTGGTGACCTTTCGTGGCCGCACGGAACGGCCGCCCCTGGCGAGCCCGGCCGGCCACGGCCCGGCAGACGCGGTGGGAGGCCGCTGAGCGAGCGACACGTGCAGTGTACGCAGAGAATGGAACACCTTTCTAGATGTTCAGCATGAGCTGCGGATCCAGGCTGCAGGGAACAGTGGGCAGCGACAAGCGCGGCGAACGTAGGTTTGTGGGCGCGACTGATGCTACTGGAGGTGACTGGTGTCGCTGTATATACGGCAGAGTTTCTTTTTTTGGATTCGAGGCGGTGCTTGGGTACATAGTCCTCGTTCACTATACGTTTTCGACCGCAATATAAAGCACAGGAGCACGGAAACACATGCTTGTTAAAGCTTAGCTCTCTGAGTTATGATCCAGCTAACACATGTGACAGGATTTTCCAGGATGTGATAGAATGGTCCGCAGCGGAGGGTATGTGTTCAGACGTGATCATGCAGACCATGCCGGTTTGTCCGATCCGGTAGCTAAGTTGGTCACAGCGTATACCTTCGTATTTACCCATCCATGGCTGGGTAGGTTCGGGTCGCTCTATGCGCTCGCTGTCTGCCTCTGACTGGGATGGCCCACGGTAGGTGACCGACACCACGCTCAAGGTCAACATCTAAAGGGTAGGACAGATCGGGCCGAGAACTGCGGGATATCCCTCTTTCGTCTCAAAGTGCTGCCGCTGACACATACTTTCGCGATCGGATGGTGATGTCAGGGTGAATGCAGCGAGCACTGCATAGCGTGGGCGCTGATTCCGAGAAGTCCTGCATCCAGAGGCTCCAGCTGAACCTTAATAACTTAAATAGACCCAAAGCGTTTAGTGGTGAGGAGAGTTCGGGCGAAGTTTGGATGTGGCTGAAATGACTAATAACCCAGCGCTCTGGTGGCTATCACTTTGTTGGAAACCTGGAAAAGGTGCCTTGTTCAGCCACCATGCGATGAAAACTGGAGCTAAGCCAACCGCCCAAGCCATCTCCGCCAGTTTCCAAGCTAGGGCAGTGAGTGGGGCGAATTCAAGCAACGTATAGGAAAGACTAGGTCGATACTGATTGCATGAACTCGTGACCAAGGAAAAGTTCGCTAAGGTACATTACTGCGACATGGCGATGGCCTGATCAGGGCTCGTGTTAGGGTGGCCGACAGTCCGAGAGGCCTATCTTGCTGCCCAGCCCGGTGAGCCACCACGAGTTTCACGCTCGGTGACACAGAACTTGTGGTGGCAAGGCCTTCTGCTTATACTGAACTCGATTATTCTTCAAGCCACGGCGTTTTTGTGGATGAGGTCTTGGACAGAATTATGTTCGGAAAAGATTGGCACTAACGGAACTATTGGAAAGCCTTCGACTTGAGCAGCTCGGCCAGATCAGGTGCACCTGCCATCTTTTTACATGCAAACCATATCAGGGTCCGCATCATCTCGGCGACTGCTCATCGCAGCTTCATGTAGTTTCCAAGAGCAAGCGGAACAATCGCTTAGAATTTGCTTTGCATTTGAATGCATTTGCATGTGAAACACTTAAGCAAGCGTTGGTTTGCTGCAATATTGTCATCTGATTTACATCGAAAGCGACATTGGGAGTTGGGAATAGCCGGGATAGGAAGGCCGTCGTCAGGTTCAGAAGCCAGCAATCTGGACCACGGCGACATAGCATGAGTACGACTTGTTTGCAAGAAAAACGGCTTGGCACAAATATTGGAAGATTTGAATGCGAGAAGATCGTGCTGGCACAAACGTGGGCACTGTGTGATGTAGGTTACGTGCTCCAGGCCCAGCCACGTATCCAAAGGTTTAAGGATAAATCTAACATCTCGGGAATTTGAACCTAGCGACACAGTTCAGGCAAATGGTTTGTCCGCAAGACACCAAGCCAGCTCAAATGCCTGTTTCGGATGCATGTTGCCAGAGCCTAAACTAAGAGAGATGGTGCCATGAAAAGCATGCGGGCTTTCGGTCCAACGAACCATAACCTAAATGCATACACGCCCTTTGGATTTTTGTCCACACTATATAAGCAACCAATGCAAATGTCGCTTAATCAAACCTCAACAAATACCTTAGCAGACATGTATGGGCCTGGCTAGCCTCCAGCAAAATCTGAGACGAAGTTCTTTGTGGTGAATTGACGAGTCTCTGCCTACCCCTTGGATGACAGATACATACTTTTTAAAGACTGAACTGCCTTTCTCGGGTAAAGCTAGCCGGCTACTAGTTATTGCGTGCTCGGGTGAAACTACGACTGCATTGTTTTCAAATTGCAAGTCTGATTACTGGTTTATTGGCTGAGGTGTCTGAGAATACCACAGATGTTTCGGATAATTGCCTATAACATGACTGTACGTGGCATTAGCCAGTGGTCTCGGAAAAGACCACGCCCTCGAACTGTTTACTCTGGGGAAAGTCTACAACCACTTTCGTCGTTTTTTCATCTAGCTGGCAGTACCCCGGTATGCCAAAGTGCCCGCTTCAGGCAAACATACATAATGCACGTGCGTTATGGTTTCCGCCGTCATCAATCAGGAAACAACGACCCTGTTTTTCCTTAATGGGGTGTTAGTGGCACAACAAACACTGCGTCGTGCCGACGAAATATGAAGGCGACGTGCATTACTTCGAGCTGGGGCTGGCGGCAAATGCGTAAAAATGAAGGTGGTGAATAGTCTTCTAAAGGCAAACCGACAGCAAAACCACTTAGCTGAAGTGCCAAGGACCGGATGTGGATGCACGCGGGAAGAAAGTGTCGGTTACTGAGAGGCCGGTGATACACCCACTCTGGGAGCTACGCACCCTCATGTTGGTGTGCCGAAGTAATGCATCGGCATCGCACATTCTCGGAGAAATTTATCTAGAAGTCGAATACATGTCCAAATATGTAAGCATCTACCAGAATACCATTTGCGAGTAAATGCTTCAAGATTTCGGATATTCCACGTCTAAATTCCTTATTTGGACCAAGGGTGCACTCTTAACGCCGCAATTATTCTGTGACGCCTGGGCTCTTAAATGGGCACTTTGAGAGACGAGTATGCGGCAACGGTACTTTGTATTATGAAATTATATTTCATAGCGTTACGACCAGCGTGCAAAAGTCTCAAAATTTCACTTGCTCGAGATCTGCTGGGATTAAAAAGGCGGTTTTTGGAGTCGCAATGCTTATATTATTGTGGCAGTATTTCTGAAAGGGTTTTGTCTGCAAGTCTATGCGACCCGGACCCGGCGTGCTTCGGTTCTTAAAGCGTTCCGTAAATACAGCTCAATGTCTCAATCCTTACAAAAATATCAGGTAAGAAAACAGAGAGGGAATTGTCAGCATGATAAATTAACGTCGGCCAACATAACTATTCAGACTTTGATCCCCGTACATATCGTAGGAACATGTATCTACACAGTTACGTAGTTCAGATAATTCTTTAAGTTTAATTTGGGGTCAGGGAAACATCGTAACACGACATTGAAATTTTCCTCTGGTAATACCTTACGTTCCATACATGCCAAGCATTAAATTAGTGTTACATATTAGTGTTTCAGGCATTTTCAGGTTTACATTTTCAGGTTAGGCAGATTCCAGGCATCGCGACACGGCATCGGTGACGTGAAAATCGCTATCAGACCATTCAAATTTGCAATGTTGTTATGACTTGTCATGAGGAAATAACGCAAACTACTAAACGTGTTGTGAAGCGGTTATGCATTTTAATATATATATATATATATATATATATATATATATATATATATATATATATATATATAGCAGGGTAGTGCCTAAGTTTTAGGTGTATTTCTTCATTTTTATAGTTAACTGCCCAGAGATAAGCATGCCAAACACCGATCAGTGGCAGCACTGTGATATAGAAAAGGCTGTTAATGCTTTGACTGGGCCCCCAGTGTATAGACCTTAGTGCCACTTTTAGACATCACTTTCACCACTGCCACTGTTATCACGGTTGATAACATGTTCTTTGGTGTTAAGTGATCCAACAGAAATTGTTGCATCGTTGAATTTTAGTACAGCATCCGTAATGGATTGGTCTTTCCAGGCTTTTTACGCTGCTGTTAGCGTCACAGCTGCCTGCCACAAATGTCAAAACGTGTGAGCAAAATGCGAGAAGAGTTGGCGAATGAATGGCGTAATTGGGCTAGGATATCAACGGCAATCACATTGCTGCGCATCATGATCAGGTCGTATGAAGCCTGTAACAAAGTACCATAGCTTTTACATTGGTGGACCAAATTATATTCGTAACACACTTGGAAAGTCATTATTTTTGTCATCGTTTTCATATCGTCATTTCAAGTAGCTTTTTGGAAAGTGGTTACGATACTCTAGTGCATGAGGTTCGAAAATTTTATAAATATCCCACGCACGTCTGCCATGAATTATCTCCGAACGTCTCCAAACATTTACCTTATTCCTAATCACCAGATATCGGGGAATACACTATTAGATGAGCTGGGACGGGGGGGGGGGGGAGGGGAGATAACATTCTTGAAGATGACAACTTAAGCAGTGTGCTAAGCCGATATCATCTGTTGAAGTGAGTTAATCTAATGACGTGTGCTGGCGGTGCGCTGACCAGGTGACATCTGCTGACAGTGTGCTGACCTGATAATATCAGCTTGCAGTGTGCCAACACGCTGACGTCTGCTGGCGGTATGCTGACCAGGTGACATCTGCTGACAGTGTGCTGACCTGATAATATCAGCTTGCAGTGTGCCAACACGCTGACGTCTGCTGGCGGTATGCTGACCTGGTGACGTCTGCTGACAGTGTGCTGACCTGATAATATCAGCTTGCAGTGTGCCGACACGCTAACGTCTGCTGGCGGTATGCTGACTCGGTGACCTTCGTTACAGGGCACCGAACGATGACGTCACTGTGGATGACGTTGATGACGCTGCTGCTAGCAGGGTGCGCCACATCTTTATCAGCTGCCTCTGAGGAGCTGGACCTTGAGCTGCCCGCACATTCGAGTCTGGAGTCGAACTACGATCTGGCCGATGACTCAGACGTTCAGGCGGGGCCGTACAAGCGGGGCCGGTCGTACGGTTTCGGGCTAGGCAAGCGCCAACGGTCCTACGGCTTTGGCCTGGGCAAGCGGGCAAGGTCCTACGGCTTTGGCCTGGGTAAGCGAGAATCGTACGGCTTCGGCTTGGGGAAACGCCAGCCGTCCTACTCCTTCGGGCTCGGAAAGCGGACCCCATCGTACAACTTCGGACTCGGCAAACGCAGCACCTACGGCTTCGGCCTGGGGAAGCGGCAAACATACGGCTTCGGGCTGGGAAAGCGGACTTGGGGCTCCTGGTTCGACGGTCCCTCCCGGGACGTCCTGAAGCGCCCGAGCTACAGCTTCGGCCTCGGCAAGCGCAGCGTCTCGCAGGGAGCGGAGCGAGGCGAGGCGCAGCGGAGCGAGGTGGCGCGACTCATCCTGAGCGCGGCCGAGCAGCTGGCCGAGGAGTCACCGGCGTCGCACGCGCTGTTCTCGGCGCCGGAGAAGGCGCAGAGCGAGGAGGCGCCGGCGGAGGGCGGCGACGAGGAGGCGGCGCCAGGGCTCCGCGTCAGGTACGCGGACCACCTTTGAGCTCCGGCTAAGCCGTACGCCTCACCCTCCTAAGGATCGCTGTGCGCGTGGATTGCCGTGCAATGTCCTGCGGGGTAGGGGTTTCTGACAAGAGTGACTCCTATGCTGGCAGCGGATGTCTGCGCCGGGCTCCCTCGCGAACGCGACGTGACTTTACTTTGAGATCGATTCCGGTGACGCTGTTAGCTTAAACCGGCCCGTGACTAAGCCAAAACATTCATACGAGCGCTAATGGGGTAAAGGTTAACTTGCCTGTGGAATTTGTCCCGAGAACTCCAACGAGGCGCCTCAAGAAGTGTGCACAATTTAGGCTTCCGTCGAACACCTTGTGCCACCCGTGTGACGTAGGGAATGGTAAACACGAACTAACTGTAAAGTTGCCGATCCGGAAAGAGCGAAAACGCAAAGCCTGTCTGATTTCCTGTAAGTGCAGTGCTCTGTCATCGTCTCTCTCGAGGCTGGGGCGTCGTTTAGGGCTCATTAAAGCCGTCAAAACATTGTCACAAAAATAAAATTGCCGCAAAAGTTATATAAGCTCGTCAAAGCTGGTGGTTTGTTGTTGAGCCATCAGTGATTGAAGCCGTGGAGGTGTTCGCGGCCGGCCAGGCTGACGTCTGAGCATGGCGCATGAGTGGTCCATTATTGTTTGTGACCGCTGGTCGGGAAAGATCATGCTTCATGGCACCGAATACAATGACGTTCATGTGAGTGATGCTCTTTGGTCATCAAATGATCGCGCAGATCCTTCCCAAATACATTATAGCTGAAGCGCAAGCAAGGGAATGCAGCACAGCGAGATGAAGTACGAAAATCTGAGTAAGGGCGCAGCCAAGGCAGGCGTCGGGACCCCCCCCCCCCCCCTCCTTAGACCCGAATTCACCACAGGAGGCTCCCCGCCAAAGGTTGAAAATCAGCATGATGCATCCTCACGGGGCTTCGTACCCTTTAAAATAGTCTGTCTGCGCTCCTAAAGCTGAGTTGCTGCACATAACACCTTATCTACCCTGATGTTACTTAACAATGCACACCTTATCAAAGGATAGACGGCGGAATAATTTAATCATTTACCTCCAATTCGTGCGTCGCGGCATGTTTGAGCTAGAGCGCCGAGCGTTGCGTGTCGGGTAATACAGCACAGCATAGCTGTTTCTATTCCACTGAATTTGGTGAGCAACGAACAACTTGGAGGCATTGTTGTCTGGATGCTGGAGGTATCCTGGCAAACCAAAATCAAAACTTGATGAGCGCCCGTCAGTATAAGTCAGTCCTCATATAGCTTTTTATAGCACATCAAAATCGAGACTTAGCGTGGCAAACCGAAATTGAAACGTGATATAGCCTACCTAAATCAAAACCTTGTTATTGGTGTCCGTTGAGACCAACAACAGCAGCTTAAATCAAGCGGTGACCTGTATGCCGGCGGGAAATGAAAGCACAAATATAGAAACAGCGAAAAGAGGAGAACTCACGGATTTTCGATTACAAGCTACCTTCGGGTGGGGGAGGGAATGAGGGGGGGGGGGGGCATGAAGGATAGATGTTGCCGGCCATGCAACGACACGGTGAGAATAGGCTGTAAGTTCGCATCCCGCCGTGCTCCCGTATTGCAGCGCAGTCACCGCAGTCACCCCCCTTCCCGCTCCTCGCCTGAAAATAGCGTGTGGCCCCAAATTTGCCAGTTTCCCTTCTTCCAACTCAGTGTTGTACCATTAAACAGACACCCCACAAGGCAAAAAATCCCATCTGAACACATCCAACAGCAATCGACTCTAACAGGTGCACCGCACATCCCAAGTCAAACTGAAGTACCCGCCCCTGAGGACCGCGCAGCCCGAACGGGCGACCCGCATGTGGTGCGGCACGTCAGCAGTGCGCGCCGCATCGGCACTGGTCTGCGGCCGGGCATCCGGACCCCGAGGTAATCACAACTGGCGGCCGCGGGCGCAGCGCCGACTTCCCGCCGGATTGCTGCTCGCCGCCAAATCGGCTCGACGGGCCACGGGCGAGGCCGCGTTACGAAATAGGGAGAGAAGGTATGGATGGAGTGGGAAGGAGATGGTCGGCATAGGCTTTGCCCACCTGCCGAGTGGGATCCACAAAACATCATGACTTCCCGCAGATATATCAGAAAATCGCAGACGATTGAGGGGACATTTCTACGATGAGCACACAACGGCCGGCGAACGGTGGGACGAACGAATGGATCGATCGGTGGATAGATGAGAGCACATAAGAGAGGTGGGAGAATGTGACGAATATTTCGATACCGGGAGTTTGTTTTGTGCATTCGCGTCTTTTAGGAGTCGGATAACTAAAACATTGTCACCTCTGTAGGCAAAAATAGAGATCAAAATGGAAAAAGAAGACAAAAACACAACGCAGCGGTTGTGTTACTTTGGCACAACGCGAAAGGTTAAGACGAAGACGACGTGCTAGACGCGGCTGTTGATCTCAAGCTACGCACGTAATGCCTCGTCAATAAAAAACGAAACAAAATGCATTTTTGGAGCTTCCAACAGACCATGGAGAGTGCTCGGCACCGGCGCGGTGATGTTCAGGGTGATATGCCTCTAGTTCCTGCTCAACGCTACCATACCTCATCATCTCCGGAAATAAGATTCACCGACATCGCGCTCGATTGCGAAGAACATCTCCGTGGACATCCTGCACCACACGACAGGCGAAGAACGCAAAATGGTAGATTTGCGCAGACCTAAACAAGCCTGCGTAGCAGAGCTGAGCTGTACCTGAGAGAGAGAGGTCATCAACAGCGGGCCATTGAATCATTGTGCTGCAACAAACGGTGCCTGCACAAGCAGCGCGGCACCTAACGTTCTCGGGCTCAAATGGCCGATTGGATCTTGTATAAGATCGAACCGTCATGCGCATACAAACCAGATCAGATGTCTTGCGATCAGGAGACGAGAAATACTGCGGCCCATATCCACAGTGCGTGTACACCTTCGACTGGATAATCCCTGTCGCGATAAGAGCACGCATGCTTATGCAAAATCTGTGGAATCTTGATATCGCTTGGGATGAGCCGATAATGGGACGTCTCTATTAAGCAAGGAACAGTAATAGTTGTCAAGCGACTTGAACGCAGCGGGCAGGGGCCTGTTACCGAAAAGGGCATTGGTTGAAGTAGGAACTCGTCTGTCACATGTATCATGTGATACTTTCATTCTCGAAGTCAAAACGCGCCTCGAACACACTGATGGTGAACGCCAAGGTGGGTAAAATTAAACCCTTAGTATAACGTTTCGTTGAAATCGCGTGATGCTCCATATGAAATATTAATGTTCTATATGAAAGTCTTCTGTTCTATGAAATATCATGACTTCCTGTTCGTATAACTCTTTGCCTAAACAGTGTTTCAAGATTTCGTAGCATTTGTTACAAATACACTTCGATACATTAGGTTCTTTTGATTTATTTACATTACAGTACGGAACATACACGCTGGAAAAGGAATGCAAAAGAAATGCATTACTTACATAGTGTTGAGCAGGGAGTCAAATAACATTCCTCCGGCGGGGTCGGCAACTGCAAATTGAAACTCGGGGCTGGTCAGGATTTCGAGAAAATTGGTATTGCTAATCAAATCGTGTCGATCAAATGTATATATGTATATATACATATATATATATATATATATATATATATATATATATATATATATATATATATATATATATATATATATATATATATATTTATATATCGATCAAACTGCATCTGATGCAGCAATAGGTGAAAAGCACAAATAGGTGGGATACGCCCTTTAAAGCCATCCTCATCTGTAGTGATCCAATGGTCACTTTGCACTGGATTCATACTGCAAGGTCAGTGAAATCGTACATGAAAAATCGGACGCGTGAGACACGTGATATCAAACATATATATATATATATATATATATATATATATATATATATATATACGTGTGTGTGTACATGGTATCGAAGACAGTATGACATCACTGTCCGTCCCGAGACAATCGCGCAGACCACCTAAGTCGAGGGATGTCTTCGAAATCATCTGCCACGCCTGAACTTTTGTCCAATGGACCAACTGGGCTTTCTGATGCCGGAAGGTGGCCAACGTGACGCCGGGATGAACAGGACCCGAACACCACCAACTGATGGCGCAGGTGAATATGACCATGAACATGAACATGAACTTGGTACATGCATGCTTGTACATTCTTTCGTCTTCTCCCAGTACAGATAATGATATGCGGGGGTTGTTTTGTACGGGCACGTGGTCATGTCTATGGTTTTGGTTATGATTGTGGTTATAGTTGTGGGGCACGAAGACTTAAATAATGTGACCTGTGTAGGGAACTACAAGGAGGGAAGATAACACTCAACGCGAGAGGTAATCATAGCCGTTGATTAGTCGATGACTGGCCGCCATATTTATGAAGGCGAACAGACGGACAGCTTGGTACACGGATAGACATCTGGACTAAACAATGTACCAAAGAAAATGCACGTTCATTAAAGCCATTCTGTTCCCACCATATATTAGAGGCCTGCACCATTCTTTCAAGCCCTCTCGGCCTTCAAAGACAGCAGGAACAAGACCGTTTTCATTTACGGATCGCGCGTTTTTTAAGACCCGTGCGTACGGCTGCGTACATTCCAGGTAAGAGGCCGTCTGTCAACGCAGCTTCTAACTGCTTTTACTGCTGCGATGAGTAAACGTGTTGCAGGAAGGATTTGTGCTGATAAATCTGTGCGACGCCAGTGCTTCTGGTCAGACATCATCATTTGATGAGTTATGGACGATAGCGAGATATGAGGGAGTGTAAGGTAGCACAAGTAGATCATACGTAATATCACCGTCTCGTTCTCAACGAGATAGTCACGCACACTACATTGACAACTTATACACATGTGCGCCTGTACATAGGCATGTACGCATGCATGCACACATGAATTTCGCAAGTATGCCACTAAAGCGACAAGCAGCTTGAATGCAGTCCTGATAGCCAGCATTCGGATATCAACGTCATGGATAGTTACATCAGAACTCACAACTCCTAGCACCGGTCCCCTTGTTTTATTTGTTAGCGTATGCCTGGGTGCCATGCTACAGCGTGAGTTCCTGTCAAATGCAGCCAACAAAGATTCAGACGTCATACGTCGCCACAGACCGAAAGAGGTTTGCGTTTGCTTGCGTTTGAAATAACTGCGCTTAACCGCCAAAGACGGGCACGTTTACAACACTGTCTTGTCTCACGTGGGAAGATTGGAGTTGTTTATGACTTTCCCGCTGGAATATTCCGAATTTCCGTAGTTTTCTTTTGTGCGTCGTGAAAAGGTGAAATGGCAACGCTTTAGGTAAGGTTGATACACGGACAGGGCAGTGCCCAGACTTTGTGTCAGTGTCAATTTAGCCACAAACCTGACTACAGTTGAGACGTCAGCGTGTTGCATTCGACGCCGTTTCGAAATGCCGATAGTTCCGGTCCTGCCCGACGGTTATCGGCGCAACCGTGGGTCGCAAGAAGTCAAATTGACACCGTGGGATTGCGGGCAGTACGTTGGTCAACGCTTTGCAATTGGATTCACGCCTCTACGCGCTCTGGCTACCGAGCCATGGTATAAAATGGAAAAAAAACGTAAAAACAGGTCAAATTCGCCTTGGCCGCTTCCGTGCACGTGACAAGTGGCACGTGCCAC